TTGACCTCATGATCCACCCGCCTCGGCCTCCCAAAGTGCTGGGATTATAGGTGTGAGCCACCACCCCCGCCCTTAGAGTAGGTATTATTATTCCCATTTTACAAAGAAGGAAATAGATCAAAGAGGTTAAGTAAGCTTGCCTGGGGATCAGCCCTGGCTGGAGGGAAGGGTTCTGACTGTGACTCCACCCAAACACCCCCACTGCAACCCAACTGCTTATTTTTGGAGACAAGAGTCTCGCCCTGTCTCTCAGGCTGGAGTGTAGGGGCGCGATCTTGGCTCACTACAGCCTCCGCCTCTTGGGTTCAAGCGACTCTCTTGCCTCAGCCTCCTGAGTAGCTGGGATTACAGGTGCCCACCACCACACCTGGCTATGAGGGGAGGCTGTGAGGAAATCCAAGGCACTACTCCCAGGAGCAGTTCACTCAGCATTCACAGCCCTGAGGCTCTGTGATGGGGGTCCCAGCATTGCTGGAGGAACATCTTGGGTAGCCAAAGTACGAAAACATGGGAGTCAGGGAGACAGAGGGGTGTGTGCAAAATAAGATCCTAAGAAGCCCTCCAGTGTGCAGATTTCTGTGGCCTCAAAGCACTTTTATAAACACTAGTCAGAGGCCAGGTGTGGTGGCTCACGCCTGTAATTCTTTTTTTTTTTTTTTTTTTTTTAAGATGGGATTTCACCATGATGGCCAGGCTGGTTTTGAACTCCTGGCCTCAGGTGATCCACCCACCTCGGCCTCCCAAAGTGCTAGGATTACAGGCGTGAGCCACAGCGCCCGGCCTCATCCCTGTGATTCTAACGCTTTGATAAGTGGATAAATGTGGGAGGATGAGGCTGGCGGATCACCTGAGCTCAGGAGTTCACGACCATCCTGGGCAACATGGCGAAACCCCATCGCTACAAAAAAATACAAAAATTAGCTGGGGCTGAGGCAGGAGGACCACTTGAACCCAGGAGGTCAAAGCTGCGGTAAGCTGAGATCCAGCCACTGCACTCCAGCCTGGGTGACAAAGGGAGACCCTGTCTCAAAAAAAAATCCACTAGTCAGGACAGGTACTATTGGCCCGTTTTTACTGATGTGGTAGCTGAGGGCTGAGATTTCCCTCAGGGCCCACAGCTAGTAAATGGCAGACCGCATTCTCACAAGTGCTTCTGCTCCAAGAATGTCAGCACTCCAGCATGTCAACCCTCCTTGCCATTTCCAAGCCTGTGTGACTATAAATGTTAATTGGTAGAGGCGTGGTACAAGCAGGATCCCGGAAAGTTCAAGGCCAGGAGCTGGGGTCAAACTCCCACTGTTCCCTCCACCCACAGTGGCCTTTGTGACAGGAAGGGGGAGGGGCGGGGACTGTGAGATCTGGAGGCTACAGATGTTTCTAGAGCCTGGGCTGTCCTTTTCTAACGGTTGAGGCACTGCCTTTCTCTGAGTCACTCCAGTGAGTTGAGGCCTCCCCAGGCGTGGAAACCCCTAGGACCCAAAGAAAGGTTGTTCCTAATCACTGGATCAGGCATGCCAAGGAGAGGGCCCTCCGAGGATGGGGCTGGGGAAGTGTGTGCCACCGCAGGCTGCCCAGCCACCACAGGTTTTCCACCTTGACCCCCAGGCCCTCCCTGGAAGGGCAGGCTTGTGCTGAGCCTTAAGTGGTTTCTGTGGTTTGGGGTGGGGAGGGAGGGAAAGAGAAGTTGGGGACTGCTCCCCAGTTCCACGCCACCACCGCCACCTCCCACCCCTTCCAGAGTGTTTGCCCCCAGCATGGAGATCGCCTCTGATAAGGAGACTGGGCACGTGGGGGTGAAATGACTCTCCGATCCCTATCAGCCTCTTCCTTACATAAGAATGTATGCGAAGAGGAAATAACCACTGCCCTGCTTTGAAAGGACTGATTCCTCCAGAAAAGGGGATGTGATTGCAGCAAGAGGGAGAAAGGTCAGGCAAGGGGGACTTACAGTAGGATAACCAAGGGAACTCCTTGCCCTGGGAAGAAAAGAAACTCAAGCTATTCACGCTTAGGGCAGGGGAGGGGTCGAGAATGCCTAGGAAGCATGTGACACTCAAAGGCCTAGAGGCCAGGATCCTGCCTTCTCAATCTCCAGACGCCTCCTCCCCACCCTACACAGCAGCGCCAAGCGGCACAACCAGGGGAGGCAGCCTCGCCTGCAGTGTCTCGGGATGCCCGTGTCGATCCGATCCGCAGGCATTCTGTGTGACCTCCACTCTGTGCCTGCCATTGCTGGGCAGTGAGAGGTAGTCAGGAAGGGCCCCAGGAGACCCGGAGTCAAGAGGAAGAGATGCCTAAAGAGGAGAAAAGATAGAGAGAGGAGAGCTAGAGAAGAGCCACAGGCAGGCGGGAGCTGCTGGGAGAGACAGAGATGGGGTAACTGAGGAGTTCTGGGCTGGAGGGGAGCAGAACTGCACTCCCACCCCCTGCATGTTGCTGGCTCCTCCTGTCAGCTGGTGGGTGCTGGGTGGGGGTGGGTGCTGCAAAGCACCTTACCTCTCACTTCAAACCTGCCCCAGGGGCAGAGCCCCCAGACAGACCAACATCCTGTTCTGTGCAGAGAAGCATATGTGGATGCGTGGACCCGCATTTACCAAAACGACACGGAGATAATCAGAGCCTCAGAGGCATAGACACATACCCTCAGACTCTCAGTGCAGAAGGTCCCCAAAACTTCCCCTCCTCTTTTTCACTCCTCATCCATTGTCAATGACCCCAGGAGCTGAAAAGTCCTCCTCCACGTCTACCTTTGTCCCTCAATCTGCAGCCATGGGGGTACTCTGAGTGCCACCTAAGAACGGAGGCGCTGACGGCAGCAGAGGGTGAAGCCCCAGGGTTGGGCAGGAGTGGAGGATGGTGAGATGAGAGGGCAGAAGAGGGAAGGGACAGCTGCCTGCCCTTTCCATGCCAGGTGCCACGTGCACCAGGTGGGGGGAGAGTGGGTGAGTCACGAGGCTGTGGCATGGCTGACTCCTGCTCTGCTGTTTACCAGCTGGGAATGGGAGCAGGAGGAGGTGCCAGGGAGCCTCTCTGCAGCCTGGCCCCTGGCCAGTTGCCTGTTGGGTAACCAGGAGAGCCAGGCCCAGCTAATCAAACTCTGGGCCCAGGCTGTGAAGGAGAAAAGCAGCACCAGGATCCCTAGAAGTCTCGTCCCCTTGGACGCCCTCAGAGCCTTCAGTGCAGGCCTGTGCTCGGTCTGGGAACCTCTCCTTCTCCCAAGGAGGCCAGTGCAGCATCTCTCCTCTCCTCCTCCCCGCCATGGCTCCTCCGCCTCCAGGCACTCCTCCAGGCCTGCCACTTGCCCCAACAGATGAGGAGCACGTGGAAGCATCAGGGGGTCAGAGAGTCCAGGGAAGAGTAGCAAGGGGCAGAGGCTGGGCCAAGCAGTCAGCGGCCTCAGGGAACTGAGCAGTCACTGGGAGGAGTCTGACTGCATCCTAGAGAAGAGACAGAGTCCCCCACACCTGTCCTCCCCTCCCCATCTCCCATTCACCTGTCTCAGGTACAAACCACAGGATCTGAAGTCATGAAGACTTCGGTCCAAATCATAGCTCACCCATTTATTGTTCCTGTGTGAGTCCCTGGGCAAGTCACTGTTTTCACTGAGCGTCTGTCCACTCACTGATCAATCTGGAATAACGGTATTTTCCTGTGGGGGGTGTTATGAGCATTCACACAAAGTAAGAGCATGGATTTCCATAAAGGCCCTGCAAAGGGCCCAGCACACCGTAGGTGATCAATAAATGATTGTTCCCTTCCTTCCTCCTGTTCGTTTTCTCCTCAAGGCTCCATGCGCTGGGCCCCTGGTCTCTCCTCATGTCCCCTCCTGGTGCCAGGACACTCTGCCAGCCACTCCTTTCCCCTGCCTGCTGGAGGGCCAGGTGCTCCCGCCCTCCACCCTCCTCCCTCCTCCCTCCTCTGGGCCCTGCTCCCTGCCCTCCTGGGCAGCCAGGGCAGCCAGGCCGGCACCAAGGGAGCTGCCCCATGGACAAAGCCCCACAGAGACAGCACCGAGGCTCACGGGGTAAGAGGCCCATGGCCCTTCTGGCAGGTGGAAGAGACCGCCAGAGGTTCAGAGGTGGGGGGAGATGGGAAGTGAGGAGGGGAGGGAGAGACAAAAGTGCAGAGGAGAGGGCCCCGGGTTGGCAGGGAGTGCAGGAGGGTGAAACTAGAGGAGAAACAGGAGGAGGGGTTGGGGAGATGACAGAGGAGGAGAAATCGGAAAAGGAGAGAAACGGGAGAAGGAAGGGACAGGTTGGAGGGTAGACAGGAAGGGAAGAGCTAAGTCAGGAAAACCAGATCTAGACCCAGCAACGGGTCAGAATGTGGACAGGCCCTCCAGGTGTGGGCTGCCCCAGCAGGCGCGGAGACACTGCCTCCTTGATCCGGCCAGGACCCCAGGCAGCAGTGTCTGGGAGGCGGGCTGCTCCACCTTCTGTTCATTCACCCGTGGAAAAGCCTGTCCTTTAAGGAGTGACAGACTTGGGGAGTGTGGCAGGGGAAACCACACCCTGTCAGCTGCCCACGACCACGTAGCCTGGCACTTTCCTCTCCACTGGCCCAGGGGTATTTCATCTCTGCAGAGAATGTGGGGCACTGGGCCATTGGCAGAGAGGGACAGAAAGTCAGGCCATCCTCAGCCCCACCCATGATCCAAGTCAGGAACCCCCTCAGAGCAAGATCCCAGGGGCACAGGCTTGGTCAGCTGTGAGCACAGAGGAGGAACGTTTGAGAGCCAGAGGCTCCAAGCTTCAGGGCCACCTGGTGGAGAAAGAACTGGCTGCCTGGGCAAGCAAGGGGAGCACCCCCACCACAGGACTGCTCTGAGGTGCAAGGCTGGGGGCCAGGAGCCGGTGCCATGTCCGGGAGGAAGCTGGGTGGGGCCACGCAGGAGCAAGGGGAGGTGGGCGGGGCTGGGTGGGGCCTCGCCACCTGGAGCAGTCTTTTCCCTCCCTCACCCCAGCAGAGCCCAGGCCATCAGGACACTCGCCCAGTGACCGAGGGTGGATGCCAGTGGGGAACATCAGATGCCAGCGGGGAGCATCTCCCGGGCAGAAGGGCACTGTGTGTGTGTGTGTGTGTGTGTGTGTGTGTGTGTGTGTGTGAGAGTCGGGTGTCAGGACTGAACAGCAGAAGGGAAAAAATAACAGAATCGAGTCAGAGGTTGGGGAAGCCACAGGGGTATAGGGCAAGGCTGAAGGGCTTTCTGAGACAAAAGGCAGGCCCTGTGCCCGGTGATGAGCTGCCATGTGGGTGCAGAAAATGGATCAAGGTCTGGCAGGGGAAGTCTCTTCCCAGGGGCTCCCTGGCAAGGTGTTTCACGGATGCTAACTGCATGAATGCGTGGCCCTGCCCTCGGCGGCTGCTCCTCCCGGAGGTTGGCGCATCCGCGTGACCCCACCGACCATGCTCCCTACTGCCCAGCCTCCACCCAGACGCGGCCACGCAGCAGCAGCAGCAGCAGCAGCAGAGAAGGGATGCCTTCCTCTGCGGGCTGGTAGCCCACGGAGGCCCGCCTGCTGGAAGCCAGAGAGGGGTCTGTGTTTGCAGCTTTGCCCTCCTCTTCCTCCAAACATCCTCTCCCCCTCCCCCCCACCCCCACATCTCTGAAGCCCTGGTCTTTTCAGGCATAGATGAGCAACCAAGAGATTTCAGTCCCACCGAGATTTAACTCTGGTTGTAGGATATTTTTGTGCACCTCCAATGGACCAGATACTATGGAGGGCTCTGGAAATTACAAGCTGAACAAGACCAATGCAGTCCCTGCCTTCACAGGGCTTCACAATTTGGCAGGGAAGACCCATTTCCCAGACAATGACACAATGACAGCAGTTAGATGACAGTTAGGTGACGTGGTGAGTGCCAGGAAATAAAATGCAGGGAGCTGAGCATGTCAGCACAAGGGCAGGGGAGGGGCGGTGTGGCTTCTCCAAGGAAGAGACATAATCAGAGACCTGAGAGGGGGAAGAGAAGCTGTCCAGATTCAGGGGCGCAGGAGGGAGGGGCATTCCAGGCAGAAGGAGCAGCTTGGGGGAGTCCCAGAGGCAGTGAGGAGCCCGATACTTCCGGGTACCTGGAAGAGGGCCAGCGTGGGCCAAGGACAGAGGGCACTGCGGGAGTGGCCTGCCCGCCCTCCAGATGGCAGGCTCTGAGGGAAGGAGTGTGGCTTTGGGATCCTAGGAGTGGGAAGGGCCTCAGCCCCTCAGGGTCTTCAGCTTTTGACACCAACCCCCTCTCTTGTCTTTACAGAGCTGCTGGCTGTAAAGAAGACCCACACCTGTGAGTAGGGGGTTCAGGGCAAAAAAAAAAAAAAAAGGCTGGGGCAGAATAAGATGGAGAAGAATTCAGCAAGGGCTCTGGGAGGGACTGAGGGTGGACAGAAGTGGAGGAGCCAGGAAAGCGAGGGGAGGCATGAGGAAACCTCAGATCAGGGCAATGCCAGGAGATGAGGAAGAAGCGTGAAGCGTCAAAGGAAACAGTGTGAAGAAACCAGGCGAGGAAGGCAGCAAATCGCACTGCCGTGTGTGTACCCGTGCAACAGTCTTGATGTTCTTCACATGTACCCAAATCCTAAAATGCAATAAAAATAAACAAATAAGAGAAACCAGGAGAGAACAAAGGAAAAGAAAACTGTGGAAAAAGGCGAGGAGAGATGATGGACAGAGGCAGGGAGACGGCAGGGCGTGGGGGCCAGCTGCCCAGCCGGCCGGGAAGGAAGGAAGGAGATGGAGGTGGGGGGGCATGTGGAGGCGGGGTGGCCTCAGGAACTCAGCCCCCCTGACACAGGAGGTAAGGAGCCTGCACCAGGCTTTTTTTTTTTCTTTTTTTTTGAGCTGGAGTCTCGCACTGCCGTCCAGAGCTGGAGTGCAATGACGTGATCTCGGCTCACTGCAACCTCCACCTCCTGGGTTCAAGCAATTCTCCTGCCTCAGCCTCCCAAGTAGCTGGGATTACAGGTGTGTGCCACCACACCTGGCTAGTTTTTGTATGTTTAGTAGAGATGAGGTTTCCCCATGTTGGCCAGGCTGGTCTCGAACTCCTGACTTCGTGATCCACTGCCTCAGTCTCCCAAAGTGCTGGGATTACAGGCGTGAGCAACTCTGCCTGGCTTGTACCAGGCTTTGTGGTGCTTAGCCAGGTTTGGTGTTCATCTCTGTGGTTAAAACATCTTGAGGTGTGAATAAGCCCCGAGCCAGCCTGTGCAGAACTAGAGAGCAGGAGAGCTTCCTCTCTGTAGGAAACAGAATGTACAGGGGCACTCTGTGTCCTGGGGCCCTGAAAGCCAGACTACAACAGGGAAGAAGGGCACTGGAGCTCAGAGAGGACTTCCCAGTGGACACTAGTGACTAAGCATCCTCTCTAGGGACTGCTCAGCACATCAGCACTCCTCTCCTAGTTTGTGGCAAAGGCTAGTACCCAGAGAATGCACACAGTCCCAAAGCGATGCCCATCAGGGTCATGCATGCCTTCAACAGCTTCTGTAAGCACGGGTCGCTGAATCGACGAGGTTCCCTCCAGGGTAGGAACAGACACACCATTTCTCCATGGCTGTCCCTTGCTTGCCTTGCCAGTTCCTTCTAAGAGCTCACTGCCATCCCTCCCACTGCCAAAATTGTCTAGAGCCTCTCTGTTCCAAGCAGAGACATCTCAGAGGGCAGAGCGTTGCCCTCCTCCCTGAGCTGGGCAGCCCGGGGCTGACGGCCATCCAGGATGCTGCCTCCTCCCGGGTGGGGGTTGCTTTGCTCAGCATAATCCTGATCAGTGCCTCACCTGCCCCTAGCCACAGGGCCCCACGGAAATGCTGAGCAGGGCCCCGGGAGGAAAGCGGGTCAGGGAGTGACGCGAGTGAGCTGGGGGAGGGGGGTCACGGACCGTATGTGGGTGGGAGAAGTAGGGGGACTTTCAGAGCAGCAGAAATGGGGAGAGGTCAAACCCTATTCCTACCCTTAACCCCTGACCTCAGAAACCTCAGCCAGGACCAAACCTCCTTATCCCCCTCCCAACCCGCTGGTCCGCACGTCCACACCCCATGAGTGTCATCCTGAGGATCCAGGCTGGCAGCATCTCCCCCACTCCACAGCCTAGCTCCTGAAGCCCCAGGAAGCAAGGAAAGGCCTGTGCCTGGATGAGAGGGGCTGGAGTCCCAGCAAGATCAGATACCTCTCAGGAGTTTGCCCCACAGAATCCAGGGCACATTAAGGCTTCCCCCAGGCTGAGAGACTGAAAATTGGCTCCTGAATTGAGGCAACCCCAAGATGGGGTCCAAGATGGGGAACCCAGGGAGAACTCCCCAGACCAAGAGGGAGCCTGAATACTGAGGGACCCCGAAGAGGGACTCTCAAAGCCAACATACCCCACAGAGCACATAAGAGGCTGAGAAGGCCTCTGAAATTATTTGACCCCTGATAAGGAGCCCCCACCAGGCCGAAAAACACTCCAGAGAGACTCACATGCCAGGAGACCTCCCAGGCCGAAGCACCCTAAAAAGCAGATCTGAACCAGAGAGACCCTCCCATCCTTCAAGTGGGATCCGAAGCCAATCTGCCTGGGCTTGAATCCTGACTCTGCCACTTACTAGCTGTGTGATCTTGGGCAAGTTACTTAACATCTCTGTGTCTCACTTTCCTCCTTAAAATGAGGATAATGGTAGCTACTTCATAAAGTTTATTTTTTTTATTCTTTTTGAGACCGACCTTCCGGCTCCCAAGTTCAAGCGATTCTCCTGCCTCAGCCCCCTGGGTAGCTGGAACTACAGGCACCTGCCACCACACCTGGCTAATTTTTGTATTTTTAGTAGAGATGGAGTTTCACCATGTTGGCCAGGCTGGTCTTGAACTCCTGACCTCAGGTGATCCACCTGCCTCAGCCTTTCACAGTGCTGGGATTACAGGCCTGAGCCACCGCCCCTGGCCCACATGAAGTATTTTGTGAGGATTAGATAATCCACATAAAACATTGAGAACCATTTCTGACACATAACAGTCAGCCCATTATTATGATTATGAGTATGATGATGGTGATGACGATCATTATCTACACTCCAATTTCAGAAGTTTGGCTCCTAAGGAAATTTCTCATTTCCTTCTGTGGACCGTGGGTATTTGCCTGATGATTATTACTGCTCCTATCATTTCCATGTGTTCCCTAGCGCAAGATACACGGGGTGTCTGCAGGAAAGAGCATGGGCATGGAGGTGGTGGGGCAGACCCCCAGGCTGCACCACACTGGGCATGACTGTTGGCAGTCCACAGGGTGTCAGGTGGCACATGCCACCACCCCGGGGAAGACATCCTGTGACTTACCTCTGAAAGCATCCTTGTCCCTGAAGTCACCTGGCAAAGATGGTCAGGCTCAGCAGGTCCTCAGGGGGAGGAGGAGTAGAAACCCGGCCCCAGGCTCGTGTGAGCTCCATTCCGGCTCCCCAGCCAGAACTACCCTGGCGGGTGGAAACAGCTTTTACTGTGTGTGGCTGTCGCATGTGGTTTTGGAATTTTCCAACGCCCCCTACGATTGGCTGCCCCTCCCCTCACACCCTGCCCCAGGCCCAGATTGGCCACGTGGGGCGCCTGTCATCCTACTCACTGCACCCCTTGGGGGTGGGGTGGGGGGTTGTCACTTGGCCACCTGTGTGGTGCGGAGCTTAAACCCCCCAGCCCAGAAGCACTGGGGGAGAGCTAGGTGCAGAGCTTCAGGCTGAGGCGCTGCTGAGAGGGCCTCACCCCGCCTCTGCTGCCAGCTGCACCCCGCTCCTGGACCACCCCCTGCTGAGAAGGACAGGGAACCAAGGCCAGCAGAGCCAAGGCTCAGTCATGAGAAGTAAGTGAATGGGGCTACCTGGGGGCAGGAGAGCCTGGACCCTGCCGTCACCCCTCTGGAAGGGAGGATGTCAGTGTGAGCAAAGCTGAGTGCTCTTCCCTGGCAGGGTGTGTCCCAGTCAAGGTCAAGATCTGTTGGGAGATGGGTGGAGCAGCTGGGGAGTCCTGCTGGCCAGGCGGTTCCCTGACAGCAGCGATGCTAAGAGGACTGTTGAGAACTCCTGAGTTCCGAAAAGAATCTTCAAGAGTATCTGAGGTATACGGGCCCCTCATTCTACAAAAAGACGGGGCGCCCAGGAGGCTGCGTACTTCACCCAAGGTTACACAGCTGGTGTCTGACAGAGGCTGGTGATTACTAGGGGCCCTGAACGCACTCTCCTGGCTCCTGCTACCGTGTTTCCCTCTGTGCCTTCAGCCTGCTTGTGAGTCAAAGGAGGCCGGAGTGGTTGCTGTGCCTTGAAGCAACAGGACCGCCAGAGTCAACTGAGGTTGGCGGGCAGCAGGGCTCAGAACCCCGCATCCAGGCCTCAGCGGCACCAGGCTTTCTGCCCAACCTAGGGGCATGAGGACTATGTGGGATCCAGTCAGGGTGCACCAGGGTGGGTGCCTATGTGTGCGTGTGCGTGTGTGTGCGTGCCTGTGTGTGCATGTGCGTGCGTGTGTGTGTGTGCGTGTGTGTGTGTGTGCGTGTATGCGTGTGTGCGTGTGTGTGCATGTGTGCCTGTGTGTCTGTGTGTGTGGTTCTCCAGGGTCAGTGGCCCATTTGATGGGGGAAGCAAGGCAGTGGAGATGGGATTGGAAAGACCTCAGCCTCACCTTCTTCGTGGCTTGGAGCCCCGGTGGGCAGATGTCTGGGGTTCCTGTGCCTTCCAGCAGAGCAAGGGTGGGCAATCTCAGGAAGTCCCCTGTAATTGTTGTGAAGGGAAGCCAGAGGAGCTCTCGGAGCACAAGGTGAAGGAGGAAAAGGGAAGCCCCATGCCCCTATGGCTGAGGCCTGAGGCAGCCCCAGTTTCAACCTGAGCTCTTCCCACAAGCCACAGAAGGGAGGCCGTATTGAGTCCTGGAAGGACCCCTGGACTGAGAGTGTCAGACCAGGCACTTGTGCCACCTGTCACTGGCTAGCCATAGAGACTTAGACAAGCCAAGTCACTGCGTTCTGGTCCACCATCCGCAAAACAAGGGAGCTGAATTAAGATAAAGCAACAAAACCAACTATGGAGAGTCTCCCAGTTCCAAAGGCCCAGGGCCAAGAGAGAGCCCAGTGCCCTGAGGCAGGCATCCCAAGGGTGATGAAGAAGACTCAGCTCTCCCAGAGGATAGAAGGAAGGGAAGCCAGGAAAAAATTAGACTTCCACTTCTGTGATGGGGAGATGGGGACTGAGGCCACGGTGCAGGCGTGTGAGCTGCGGTGGATGAGGAGGGCTAGGGAGAACAGCCAACAGCTTCCACACAGAGGAAAGGTCCCCTTGGAGCTTCAGTTTCCCTTCCAGCTTCTTTCTATTAGCAGCAAATGCTGGCAGATTGGTCCTTCCAGAAAATGGCCCCAAATGTGGAAACCAGCCCTGAAAGGCAATGACTGGGTGTGCTTCTAGCCCAGGAGCAGAGCAGAAGTTCCCAGCAGGGGCTGAGGGAGACCTTGGCCAGCTTTCCCTCAGATCCACCCCCAGGATACACACAGAGCCCCACCCAGGCTGGGAGGTAGGAGAGGGGGCCTCTCCGACAGGGGTCAGTGCCACTGCACCTTCTCACTTGGACATTCACAGGTATCTCATAGCCCCAAGTTATCCGGCCCCAGTGAGTGCCAGCCACCACCAGCCCCTCCAACCACTGAGGACGAGAGTCAAAGCATGTGGGGCTTGGGACTGTGACACACCCAGAGACCAAGGGCCCAACACACAGGAGCAGAAACACATCAAGAAATAAGGAGGGATGGAGAGGCCCGACTCAAAGGGCAGGTTTCTGGAAGACCTGAGGAGAGGGTAATGTCCAGATGGAAGTGTGAATGGAGAAAACAGGAACAGAGCCACACACATGAAGGTGTGGCCGGGCGCGGTGGCTCTCACGCCTGTAATCCCACTTCCGGAAGTTGAGGCTTGAGACCAGGAGTTTGAGACCAGCCTGGGCAACAAAGTGAGCTCCTGTCCCTACGAAAAAGTTTTTTAATTAGCTGGATATGGCAGCGTGTGCCTGTAGTCCCAGCTACTCAGGAGACTGAGGCAGGAGGACCATGAGCCCAGGAGTTCAAGGCTGCAGTGAGCTATGATCAGCATCACTGCACCTTAGCTTGGGTGACAGAGTAAAACTCTGTCTCTTAAACAAACAAACATGAAGGTGTGAAGCCCAGAAACAGAGCTGGAGTGCAGAAGATCACAAGGCACATAGACACAGGAGAGGCGGAGAGAAAGGAAGACTGGGGGGAGAGGGAAGACGGGGAGACACGGGGTCTAAGAAAGGATAAGGTGCCCTCTGACCAGGATGGCACCAGCTCCCTGCCATTCGACCTGCTGCTGTCAAGTGGAGGGAATGCATCTGTGCACCAAAGAGACTCCCAGCCAGCCAGAGGGAGGGTAGCCCAATAGGCACGAAGGCCCTGGCATTAGGCCTGGATGGGGAGGTGGGAGGCCGCGGGGTGCGAGGTCACTGGCTGTGTCCTGATCTTTCTTAGGTCTGGTCGTGATCATGAGGAACGGTGGGCTGGGAAGGACTCCAAGTCCCCAGGGTGCACAGAGCTCACCCTGAGAGCCCAGGGCCATCTGAGGCCTCTGTGAAGGATTTCCTCCTTCCTTGCAGCACTCCAGCGCCCTCCTCTTTCCCCGTCTTCCCATTCCTAATAGAAATACCAAGCATCTCGAGCCCAAGGCACTAGACTTTGAAAAGACTCAGCAGGTCCCAGCACAGTGAAAATATGTGGTCCCTACAAGGGGCGCCTCCTGCTCCCCAGCCTCTGTCCTGCTGACTCTAACAGGGAACCGGACTTTCTAAGGGTTAAGGGCTCCCCCAGGCTCCTGTTCCCGTATGGCTAGTTCTTTCTGAGGTCTCACCTCCACACCTGCTGCTGCAGTGCAGCCCCTTGCCTGAGGCTCTGAGGCTCAGAAAGGATGGAGATGTCTATTTTGGGGGAGGGACAGTAACAACGCAGGGCCTCAGGGCCACAGCCGAGGTCTTTCTGGGTCCACTACGCTCCTGGAGCAGCAAAGGTGCTCTGGGAAGGGGGACAGATGGCCCTGGAGGCAGGGAAGGCAGCGGTGGTGACTCTGGGCTCCTGCTCCTCAGAGCTTCCTCCTGGTGATTCATCCCCTCCCCCATTTGCTGGTTGTTTTCACTACCTTTCTCCAGTCCCAGACTGCGGGGGTGGCGGAGGCACCAGGAGGGGGTTTCGGGTGGCTGGCTGGCTGTCATTCATGGCTTTTCAAAACCCCAGACTCTCCCTCGCCCACCTGAGTTTTAGCTTCACTATTTTCTCAGCCCTAGGATCTGGGTGTTTCAGCAGAAAATGTTCACCAGGAGCTGTGGGGGGGCCCTGGTCTGGGCTGGGGGTAGGGTTCACCAGGTAGAACCGCGTCTCCCCCGGCCCCCACCCAGCCCTCCCCCTCCTGCTCCCGTGTGGTGGCACCCACCACCTTGGTTTCCAGCTTTGCAGAAGCTGGGGGAACTGATGGCTGAGAAAGGAGGGAGGCTGGTGACAGGTTGGGGTGTGCGAGGGACCCCGGACTGAGCTGTGGTCTCAGTGGGGATTGAGACGGAGAGTTCTGGCTGTGGGGAGGAGGGGCCCAAGCTAAGGAAAGAGGTGCATTCCTTTCTCACTCATTCATTCATTCTGCAAACAGAGGCATACGAAGATGGATGCAAACCCCATCTATACCCTACAGGGGCTGTTGTGTTCCTGAGGAGTCCCCAGGAACCCTGTTGGGATATATGCCTCCCACCTGGCCTTTAGAGAAAGGGGTAAGGGCAGGAGGAGGCTGGGACCACAGAGAAAGAGTTGGGACAGGGGAAAAATACCTCTTGGGATCTTTGTATAAACAGGAGTCCTGGCTTCAGCTCTGTGGGTTGCCTCCGTGCATTCTGTTCCTAGACCACCACCCTCACCTCACACTCTTCCCCCTGCAGCCAATAACCATGTCCGCTATCCAGTTCTCCCATGTGCATTTGGGCATCTTATCCTCAGAGTATATGGCTTAAGGGTTGAGGGCACTGACTCAGGAGTTACAGAGATCTGGGTCCAAACGCCAGGTCTGCCGCTTCTGGCTATGTGATGTTAGTCAAGCTGCTGCATCTCTCTGGGCCTCAGTTTTCTCGTCTGTAAAATGAGGCTGATACTAGCAGGGCCTACTTCACAGGGTTGTTGTGATCATTAAATGAAAATGCATGGAAAGCCTGGCACAGAGTAAGAATTCAGCCCAGACCTGTGTCTATCGTTATTCTTCCTCCCTAATGAATACCCAGCGGAGAAAAGGGAGAGAGAAAGAGAGGCAAGGAAAAGGCCCAGCTCTAGACTGACGAGGCGTCAGGACCTGGGGTTCCTTGGTCTGAACCCATTCTCTGCCATGACGGTGGGGTTGGTTCTGGGGTTTGAGGGGAGAGATCCCCCTGGGTGGCAGCCCCTCCCCTGCTCCTACCACTTCCTCTCTGTGGCATAGGGCACCTGGACAGGACCCAGGGTTGGCTTCCTAAGCTGGCACAGGGCCAGGCTCTGGAAGTACTCAAAGAGCGCTATCACTGAATCTCGCAGCTGTGAGAGGCAACATTAGAGGAGGATGGAGGACTTTGCTTCTACCGTATTTCCCCTCATAGAAGGAGCTACTAGGATGCTCCTGGGGGTGCTTCAGTCTCTGAAGCAGCCCAGAGGAGACTCGGTTTCTCTTCCTAGCATTGTCTCAGAATGCAGTTTTAGAGGTCACACTGGATGGCAGAAAACATACAAGAATGAGCTCGGGAAAAGATCACCAACCTACCCCCACTCCCTGGAAGGAGCGGCCTGGCCAAAGGGCAGGAACAGAGACTAAGTTCTTGCTACTCAAAGTATAGGCTGAAGACCAGCAAGCTTAGGCACAAAGAGCTGACCAAAGTGCGGGATGTGAGTCCCACCTCCGATCCCCAGCTAATGTCGTTTGAGACGCAGAAGGCCATCGGCATTCAGTCATTCGATGATTTAAGGAGCCGGCATGTGCATTTGGGCGTCTGTCTCTCCTTTTGGAAGCATGTGGAATTGGAGAGTTTTCTTGTGGTGAGTCTCAGGAGAGAGCTACAGTGAGGGGGCTGCAGATGAGATGCCAAGATCTGTCCAAGACAGCAGGCGAGGGTAGAGTTAGGGCTGCCATGGGAGCCTCGGTGCAGGGGCTGGTTTGAGGTTCCTGACCTTTGCTTGGCTCTAGTTCCTGGCACTGGCAGGGCCTTAGATGGTAAGTTCCTGGCAGGCCTGGCTCCTGGGCAACAGTTTGAGTAATCCTGTGATTACTCAGCTCCTTCTCCCCAATCTGGGTTCCCACCACCTGCTGCTTCAGGGACGTGTCTCCAGGGGTAGCTTTTGAAGGTGAGTTATCATTAGAGTTGTTTTCACCTCCTATCACCTCCCCCCCAACCAAGTCTACCGGCCCCCTTCCCGTTCTCCCCCACCCCTTCTCCACAAGTAACACACGCACTCATATACACAGCACTGGTGTTTTCTTTCTGAGGTTTGGGCAGATGGCATTGAAGAGGGTACAGGCAGCAGGGGAAGGGTGGGGAGCATGACTAGAGAGCCTGAAGTGCTGAGGGGGAAGGGGTTGGGCAGAGGCCAGGGTCCAAGTGTGGATTCTCTGTGTTGCTGTGTTTCCGCAGCCATCTCTCCATCCCTAGGTCCATGTCTCTGTTTTTCCCGGTCCCAAACATCTTGGTGTCTCCAGCTCAGTGAGGCTAAGGGGTCTGACATTCTAGCTCAGAGGCTCTGGCCCTGTGTGCCTGTCTCACTGTGTACCTCTGTCTTGGACGGGGAGAATGGAGGATGGGCTGACCAGGTGGCTGGAGTCCAAGACTTTGGTGTGCCCTAAACATGGGTATTTGTGAAGGGGGTCCTTGACTGGCCGCATCTTCCTGTGAGAAGGTCAGGGTCTTGGTGACACTGTTGTGAGGTTCCTAGGGCCAGGAGCAACAGTGGGTCAGGCATGGGGCAGGGAGATGTGTCTGGGGTCACCCATGTGGTCAGCACACACACGCACGCGGATGTGGCTCTTGGAGAAGGGAAGAGGCAGGGAGGCCTGTGGTTGACTGCTGGGCCAGAGCCCGAGTTCCCACTGTGGCTTGGCCTAATCTCCCTCCCGCTTACTTTTTTGGGTGGCCCACGTTGGTTTCTCCCGTCTCTGGTCTTAGGCCACTGAAGAGAGAGATGCCGCAGCGCTGGAGAGGGAGGTGTTGGGGAAGAACAGGGTCCACAGGGCCCGAGTGCCCCTCCCAGCCTTGCCAGGCCCACTGGGCTTCTTGGCCTGACCTCTGCTCGGGAGTGACTTGAATACACAGTGCTCTCCATGGGCGATATCATTTCATTACTCGCTGCTGCCTGCAATCACCCCATGGACAGGCAATAACACCTTTATCGTGATCTGACTGACAAGAACATGCAGGTCTAGAGGGAGAATCTAAGTGACTAGAAGTAGAAGTGCCCCACATTTTCTGTCCCTGTTCCAGGCACCCAATGCCCTCTTATTCTTCCTTCCCCTCCATGCATTAAAATCTGCTGTTAATTCACGGGAAAGAATCTGGAAAACTCACTCACCGCCTGGTCCTGGGGGGACCACAGTTTACTGAGTGAGCACTGGAAGCTTGCTGCCAGGGAGGCACGTGTGGCTGGGGGTGGGGACGAAATCGAGTGCCAGCGAAGGGATTTCAGATTCCCATGTGCCCTGTCACTGTGAGGAGGCAGCTACTGCCTCTGACTCACCCTAAGACTGGCTTGAAGGATGATGGTTTAAGAATGGTGGAAATAATATTTTGGGGAATGGTGGGCAAGCCATGGTCTCCCTACCCACTTCATATCAACAGGCCCTACCTGTGACCAGCGGCCAGGCCAGGGACTGGAGGGGAGCTCACAGCAACGAGCATTTGCCCTCCAGAGAGGCTGCCATTCCTTTTGCCGCTTCAGTAGGAGACATGTCATAGATGAAAAGGGGCTTTGGCCCTTCTTTTCACTTTTCTGGCCTGCTCCGCCCCCAGAGCTCCCCACTCAGAAGGGAGGCAGCAGGTCAGTGATGGTGGAAAAGAGACGCACGTGCTCTGGGAAGTGCTAAAAACACCTAAACTTACCAGGGATCCCAAGCTTTGCCCAGCTACCTTTCAAGGATGAGCTGGGAGGAGGCCTCCCACAGTCCCTTCAAGCTCAGCAGAGAGCTGTGGGCATTAACAGGGAGGGGGCAAAGCGGAGATGAGCCCAGGGCCAGCAGCAAACCACAGAGGTCCAGGAGCAAGTACAGGTTACAGTGAGTTCAGAGGGAGAGAAAACCTGGGGTCCTAGCGCCCCACGAGCAAACGCTAACATACAACTATGCACGTGTGTATGCAGGAACAACCAGATCTTTCCTTGGAGGCTCACAAATGACACATACTTTTCATGCATATGCACACACACAAGTACACCTTCAAACATGCCCGCTGATATGTGTACCCCAAAAGACAGGGACACAGAACAGCGTAATGGAAGGCTCAGGGGAACTGGGAAATAGACCCCACTCTCAGGCAAACCAGCTTGTGACCCTGGGCCAACCGCCTGGCCTTATCTGGCCTCGTCCTTCATCAGTAAATGAAGAGGTTGAATGAGATGGTCTCCAGTCTCAGCCAGTTTTAACATTGATGATTCATGTTCACACAAATGGACACAGGTGTCCTTGTACAAACATAAACGTGTACACTCGGACACACCGATGTACACAAAGCCACCCTCTCTCTGCTCTCGGGCCTAAGAGCCTAAGAGTCCTCGTTAATTCTTTCCCTGGGATCTCAGGCATCTAGCAGAGCTGGGGTGTTGAGCCCCGGTCTCCTGGGCTCCTCCCTGCCCCACACCCCATCTCTGTATCGCCCCTCCCTGAACCTTCACTGCCTGGCTGGGAGGGCTGGCATCTCTGCCTAGCCCCCCCATTGTACCTCATCTTCCTGCCATGCCCTACCCTCTGCCCATGGGAGCTGAGCCCCAGTAGGGGAGGGAGGCACAGAGGAAGCCCCTTGGGCGGGAAGCAGGTGTTGCGAGGCAGTGAGGAGTCCTGTGTCCCAAGGTGGGAGGGAGGCAACTGAGCTTTTCAACTTCAAGGGCTGAGCAGGTGGCCTCTCTGCACCTGCTTTCTCTGCCTCCATAGCGCTGGTACAACTCCTGGCTGCCCCTTGATACTCCCCTTCTCTGTGAAACAGACAGCTTCCTCACACCCTTTGCTGAGAAGCATTTGGCATTTCACTTCCCCTTCCATTTTGCAAGAGGGAAATAGCAAGCTGGAGCTGGTTGGAGAAGCTGGGGAAGCACCAGGCACTGTAGCCGCAGCCCAGGTACGTGATGGTTGAATGCAGGAAAGCCTCCTGGGTCGACCTACTTCTCCTTCTCTCTTCCAGCACAAATTGAAGTGATCCCTTGCAAAATCTGTGGGGACAAGTCGTCTGGGATCCACTACGGGGTTATCACCTGTGAGGGCTGCAAGGTGAGTCGCAGGCATGTGTATGTGTGTGTGTGCATACACACACGTGCACACACACAGTGTCTCCTTAGAGATAAACAAGGGGCTTAATGGCCTTTGTGCTGACTCCAGGGATGATCTCCTGGGCAGCCAGGGAAATCCCTGAGTAGCATCGCCTCGAAGGGCCCTCAGCACGGGGAGGGCCCTGTCTTAAGCTTAAGGAAGTGACAACAGGACAAACTGCAATTACACAGATAGACGGAGGAGAGAGAAAACGGACAGGTCGCGGAATGCAGAAAAGCTGCCAGAGCTTGTGGGCTGGAGGCCCTTGGGAGTGGGCTGGGCCCAGCCAGGATAAGCAGTCCTGCTCTCCACCTGCTGTCCCCAGGGCTTCTTCCGGCGGAGCCAGCGCTGTAACGCAGCCTACTCCTGCACCCGCCAGCAGAACTGCCCCATCGACCGCACCAGCCGAAACCGATGCCAGCACTGCCGCCTGCAGAAATGCCTGGCGCTGGGCATGTCCCGAGATGGTGAGGCCAAGTGGATGGCCCCCTGGGGTTTTCCTGGTGTCTCCAGAGGGGCAGTCGGGCCTGCTGAGCTAGACAAGGCTGAACCTGCAAGACCACCCGTCCCCTAGGCTGCTCTCCATCCCTCCTCCTTACCCCCCCTGTCTCCTCCCCTGCAGGGATGGGTGGATCACCCCCACCAAAGTTCTTTGGAGTCCCCAGCTTTCGGTTTTGCTAGAACAGACCTCCTCTTTCCAAGGTCCCATACCTCTTCATCGCTCCTGACTTGGGATGGATTCTCCTCACTCTGCTTCCCTCTGACCCAGCTCCCATGCGGCTCTGGCGCCTTCCCCTGCTACCCCGTTGTTGCAGTTCTAGCTCCCTTCCTAGTCCCCTGTTCCCATTCTTGGACACGGGACTGTGGCCAGGAATGGAAACAGAACTGGCCTGAGAACAACCAGAGGGTGGTCAGAGCAGGGGAGGGCTGGTGTTCCTGGAGCCTTATCCACCTCCTCACCCACCACCCCTCACCGGTCCCCCCGCACACCCCCCCCCACCACAGAAGGAGCCCAGGGCGGAGCTCCTTGAGGTGATGAGGAGCCAGAAGGAGCCCGTCAGCACTTTTCAGTGCCCAAAATAACAAAGCAAAAGGAAGCACGCAGGGGTGCAAAGGGGCAGGCGGGGCGAGGGGCTGTGCCCCCACACCTGGGAGGGGCGGTGGGGGGAGTAAAAAGGCAGGAAAGAGAGAGCAGAAGAGGATGTTCAGAAACAAGCCGCGGAGCCCGGGTTGGGCTGTGGTGAGTATCTAGGTCACCAGGGAGCCTGCAGGCCTGACCACAGGGAGACCTGTGTTCTCAGCTCTCCTCTTCCTCCGACCCTCCCAGAAAGGCGAGGTGACCCCAATACAGCCTGAGGCCCTCTGCTCGACCACCCACAGCCCCAATATCGGGAGGCCAGAATCCCCAGCCTAGACTCATTGCTTGAATTCTGCCATGATTCAAAGCTGGCTTAGAACTTAGAAGATTTTGCTTGGAAGATGGCAACGGCAGGTTGGACAGGCCCCAGAAGCAAACAAGAGTAAAGGTGGACGGGGTCTGGGGCATAAGCTCCCTAAAGGCTGGAGAGGCGGTGCTTGGAGTCAGCCATTCAGAGAGCAGCAAGTTAATCCTTTAATACCCAATGGCTGCTGACCCTGCCCTGTGCCATGTTCCCCTGCCTCATAAACCCCTGGTCCCTGGACCTCTTTCAGCTGTCAAGTTCGGCCGCATGTCCAAGAAGCAGAGGGACAGCCTGCATGCCGAAGTGCAGAAACAGCTGCAGCAGCGGCAACAGCAGCAACAGCAGCCAGCTGTCAAGACCCCTCCAGCAGGGGCCCAAGGGGCAGACACCCTCACCTACACCTTGGGGCTCCCAGATGGGCAGCTGCCCCTGGGCTCCTCGCCTGACCTGCCCGAGGCCTCTGCCTGTCCCCCTGGCCTCCTGAGAGCCTCAGGCTCTGGGCCCTCATGTTCCAACGATTTGGCCAAGGCAGGGCTCAATGGGGCCTCATACCATCTTGAATACAGCCCTGAGCGGGGCAAGGCTGAGGGCAGAGAGAGCTTCTACAGCACAAGCAGCCAGCTGACCCCTGACCTGTGTGGACTTCATTTTGAGGAACACAGGCATCCCGGGCATGGGGAACTGGGACGGGGCCCAGACAGCTATGGCAGCCCCGGTTTCCGCAGCACACCGGAGGCACCCTATGCGTCCCTGACGGAGATAGGTGAGCAGCTGGGGAGGCAGAGAGGGTGGCAGAGAGAGAGGGGCTTTCACTGACACCCCATATCAAACAAACATGAGCGCGAGAGAATGAGGGGTCTTGGACGAGGGCCGGAGGGAGGAGGCACAGCCGGGTCTGCCAGGCCAAGAAGTGCCCTTTTGTGGGTAGGGGTAGGAGCTGGCCGAGATCAAGCCGTGCCTTCCTTCTCTGGCCCCAGAGCACCTGGTGCAGAGCGTCTGCAAGTCCTACCGGGAGACATGCCAGTTGAGGCTGGAGGACCTGCTGCGGCAGCGCTCCAGTATCTTCTCCCGGGAGGAAGTGACGGGCTACCAGAGGAAGGTGAGGCCAGGAGACCTGCAGGAAGGCAGCACATCCCACCCCCACGGGGAGAGTTCAGAGACGGCTACCTGCACACGCCTGGGTGCTGGGGTAGGGCGGCGTATCACAGACACAGGCTGGCCGACAAGCACGTGCACAGCTTCTGCGTACGGCTGTGAACATGTGTGTGTCCGTCTACACCCCAGCAGATGATGAGAGCATGGTCCTGAACGTGTGTGTGTCCGTCTACACCCCAGCAGATGATGAGAGCACG